CTTTCCGTCCCACGAGGTTTTCCTAATTTTTCCAACAATCTATCCTCGCTAACGTTTCATTCAGAGTCTCGTATTATTTTATCCTTGGTACGCACCTGCAGGCAGAGTTTGTACTTGAGCGGAATTTGATTATATACGAAAAATGTAACAAATGATAATCTTCAACTTTTACAAAGGGAGCATTGACTGTAAATTGACCAACCTGCACTGTCCACTTTATGATGGATGAGTTTCCGTCGAATCCTGGCGTGAACTGTAACACAATGGAAAATGCATCCATGTTGGATAATGCTAGCTTCGTAGGAGGTTCCGGTAGCACCGGTTCGACGCCTGACTGTATGGTCGCCACTTTTGGTTTGCCGGATCCAACCAACGTCCAAGCGGTTACTTGAAATTTGTAGTGGGTTAGTGCCTAAGAAAACGTTTAAATGGATTATAGTCTTGTATGCTTATTGTACCTTGATTTTGACTTTTTACTATATATTTTTTACAACTACCTGAAGATGCTCCACTTTGGTTAATAACATATCGGCTGTAAAGTTTTCGACGCGCAAAGAATCCGGAATGTCTTTAATCATGTATTTCAGTTGATAATGTGTCAATATTCCGTTCGTCTCTTTAGGGGGACTCCACTTAACCGTTAGCGCACGATCACTGATATCTTTAAATTGTAAATTCTCCACTTCTTCAGGTACTGTAACTGATCATAAATATATAAAGATGAATAATGTCTACAAGAATAATTTAATTCTTATTCATTTATAATATAAGGAGATTGAAAGTACGTCAAAAATGATCTTTCAATCGGAATCATCTTTATTAATCTAGTAATGTAATTATTAATTCTTAACTAGTTGTTGCGTAGGTATATTGTACGGAGTGTACTTTCTTAAACCTGTCATAATGGCGTTCTGCTCGGCGAGCGGATCGAATAAACTCGGCGGCACAGTCATCGATTTGTATTCAGTCGCTTCTGTAAAATTGCTGTCGACCCAGGCTTGCAATTTGTATCCCTGATTGATACCATTCGTCTTTTGAGGATTCGGTGGCTTCCATCAAACTTTCACTGCCGTTGAATTAAATGCTTTTGCTCTTACATTTGTAGGAGGTGCTTCCGGGACTGCAAAAAATTATTTCTTTTATCTTTAACTGATTTATAACACCAGGGTAATATTCTAGCGTGTCGATCCATTATGTTTTAGTACTGCGTAACAGTTTAGAATTATACAATTAAACCTAAGAAATAATACCCTAATAACTGCACCGTGTGTGCATATCGATCACTCGGCTGTAGCTTCCTCAATTTTTCCAGAACCGCTGCCACGCAGTTCGCAAATGCGACCCGTTGCTCCAGTAAACTGTTGACTTGACGCAGACACAACGCGGTAACGTCCCAGTTCGCTCTTTATCTCATCTTCGTCACTGGTCAAGCGGTCCAACATAGCTCAGCTTGCGACTTCTTTGGGCGTAATTTTCTTTATGTGCACCCATCTACGAAAAGTTTGACTGGTTATACGTTAACAAGGCATTCAATGCGCACACAGTCGCAGCTTACCTATACAAATTATTGCTGTAATATACAACGCTCAATCTGTCCAGCACGAAAGAGATAATATTGTCAAGATTCCTGAAGCTCTCGGAATCTGTAGGGCTCGGTTCGATTCCGTCGAGTCGAGAGAGATGCAACTGCACAAGAAGGTGAACAAACAGTAAACACACACGCTTTCCTCGTACACATGTTCAGACAGTACTTACGCCTACGTTGTAAGTTAAATTGTGACACGTGTTCCACTTCATTTCACGAATGACCCACTCGAAATTCCGCTTCATAATTTTCTAGACTGACGAATCTGCATTTCATCACCACGGCGTTGTACAAGTCCCTCTTAACTGTACAGAGTTTGCCCAGGCACGACCGCGCACTTGACCGCGACACCTGCGTGGAGTAAAATTCATCTCTGTTCATGTGTACAAACAAATTCATTCCAGTTTCAGCAAGACAAATGAATTTATTACCTTACTCGTACTCCTTTTACTGTGCAGCTTACTCCACGTACCATATAGACCAGCCTTTGCTCACGTCACATTAACATGTTTTGGAGTGGAAACCTAACCTATTTCATCGAGCGGAACAACGATTAGATAAGTCAACACACGTATAGCGCGACGATACACTGAATGCACTGTTGTAAAAACATTTTTACCTACGAGGGAAGAATTAGAATTAAATAATCGAGTCCACGTCGATTCTGCTTCTCGTTTAAACTCGGCACGACACACCGCGCAGGACCACAAGAGTGTATACACTACGGGCGCTCTCGCGTGTAAACGTCAAGCATAGAATGCATACAGAGACTAGGGGTCTGTTCTATATCGGTGCGTTCCTGAACTAGTGCGCACACTGGTTGCGCACTGGCAATGAGTTGCAACCAGAGAGGTAATCTATTTCATTTCTATTTATTGCACTAGTTGAGTAGTGCGTTGTACGACAAATTTTGTAAGCGTGTAATCAACTGCGGGGCAGTACAAAGTCTCGAGTATGTAGAAACGGACACCTGTAATAATTATGTTACGATTAGTAGTAATTATTGTAATATTTCATGACAAATATTTGTAAGAAATACAGATGAGCTAACAACGGAACAAAATTGTTACTATTTTAACATTATATAAAAGATGAGATAAAATATTATTAAAATAAAGGTATTGAAGCAACATTTGTAAAATATTTAGAATAATATTACATTTTTGAAACATTTTGAAATAAAATGTCATTCGGTAACGTTTTAAAAACATTAATAAAATATCGTACAA